AAGTGTCATTTTAAATGCATTTATTTCAAGCACCTAAGCACTGCCTCGTGTTTCACTGACATTTCAGAGTTACCAACTGAAAAAAAGTAATGAGTGAAAACACTGGCACAAACCTGAGGGAGGGCTTTTCCTCACTTCACAGGGATCCATCTCTTCCCTGGAGGTAAAGATGAGTACATCTAATACACAAAACAGCAAGGAACAGGACAGATCATAGAAGGAGGGAACTGCTGGAGGTTTAGAAATATCACCACCAGCAGACACAACAGCTGCCAGCCTTCAACCAGAAGCCTCCATTCCATTGTCCTCACCTGCCCGGTGCCAAGGAAAAAGTTCCTCAAAGGCCACTCAGTGATGTGAGCACGCCTTTGGCTGGAGCCTGCTGGAATTGCTTCCATCGGTTTGCCGGCTGCTGCAGTTTCTGCTCTGGCTGCTGTAGGTGGCACTGGACTGTCGCGGAGGACGGGTCCGCTTCCAGCAGCGCTGCCGGAGCCTCGTCCCTCCGCACAGGGCACCTGAGCGAGTCCCGCGGGAGCTGCCGAGGGACACGGGCTCACCTTTACACCGTTCTGCCTGCTCCTGAAACAGCCGCAATCAATCCCTCTGATCCCCCCACAACTCAGTCTTACCCAACATTTTGCTTTCCGGGCAATGTTGGCATTTGAAAGGCTGGTTTGTAGCGATGCCTATTCTCGGGAAGGTGCTGGTTTTAAATCCTAAAGCTTTCCCCAAGACATCTGTGTGGCAATGGTAATGCCTGCACCCCAGCTGGCTTGCTTTGGTTATAGGGAGCGCTTGGGGTGGCTTTGAAGATCAACATGCCTAATGACACCTGAAGGGAGGGAGGTGACAACTCTGAGCTCACCCAGCCGTAGAGGAGGGGCTGGACAGGCACCACTGCTTTCCAGCTCTGCTAGAGGCTGGGCTAAGCCAGGATAGTTAGTCCGGGTTTAGAGGCAGCAGCTGAATGCAGGAGCTGCCTGGCCTGCTTCTCCCTGCTGCCTTCACTGGGTGCCTCTAACCTGGCACCAGGAATCAGGAATTCGCACAAAACTTGCAGAGCAGAGAGGAGCAAGGAGCTCTTGAAAGACCTGTCTGGGCTCTATGGAGAGAAGAGGAGTGTTTGTAAGGAGCCAGCCAGCTTGTGAAACATCTGCTGGGGACATTACACACCTCAGCGAAAACACAAACAGGCTGCCCAGGGAGGTGAGTGAGTCACCATCCCTGGAAGTACCTGTGGGCCATGGTTTAGTGGTGGGCTTGGCAGTGCTGGGTTAATGGCTGGACTCGATGATCCTGGAGGTTTTTCCAACCTAAACAATTCTCTGAGGTCTGGTGGTTATAGGTGGCACCTTATGGCCAGTGTGATGCTGTGCCCAGCATGCAGCAACTACCTGGCACCTCCCAAGGGTGACAGGGCTCCTGACCACTGGGCTGGAAGTTGGCAGTCACCTGGGAAGTAATGATCATGAACTGATTGCATTCATTTTCAGCAAACAGAAAATAGACCTTCAAAGGGAATACAGGCATCCCAGGCTTCCAAAGAGGCAGATTTTTTCATAACTAAAATCAGAAGGAAAAATGTAAACAGAAAACACATAAATAAACTTTAGGACAAGCTTTAAAACAAAATTAATAAATAGCTTGGAAAAAGACCCAAACAAACAAAAACCCACCCTGATTCAATAGTTTATCAAAAATAGAATACTGAGAGCTGTGGATTGCTTACATGACTTTCCAGTGCCCAACATCTCCAGATAACCTATCATCTCCTGCCATGGTTAAAAACTCTTTCTTGGCCATTCTGCACCTGCTGGTTTTACCACAGGAAACCAAGGCACCCCATCAGCTGTGGAGGGCCTGAGCATGTCCAGAGCACAGGCCAGAGGCGGTAGTCATGATGAGCTCTTTATTCTGTTTTATTCTGGAATATGCTGATGTTCACGCTGCTCTCCTGCACCTGCTCCATGAATGGACAGAGGAACCCCAGTCCTCTAAAAACATCAAAGTCCTGCAGGATCTCTGTCAGACTCCCTGCCACCCCTATCAGCTCCCCATCCCTGTTTGCCCTCGGTTCCCCTTTCCCAGACTCCAGCTGTTGCCTGCCAAAGCCAGAGGAGCTCCCTGATTATCACCTTTGCAGGGATGTGGATTGGGCATCCGACTTTCCGCTTACACAGGCAATTAGGAGGCTGCCCTGAAAGGCAAAGTGTCAGACACCCTTGGTAGGAGCCTGTGAAGTGCAAAAGGGAAAAAACAAGAGAGGGAGAGGAAATAAGGCCTCACCAGCTGGGAAAAGCTGCAACTTCTCACAGATTTTGAAAGAAAATTGGAAAGCAGCTTTGATTTAAATGAAACCATGGAAAGATCACAGAGGGCAATGTAATCCAGCTAGGAGAGACATTTAATGTGGCTTGAAACTTTTGTTCTCTCTCCTAGAACGGAGATAACGGTAGAGATAATGGAGAGGGAAAGTGCTGTTGGCATTGCCAAGCCTCTCTCTTAAGGAAAGCTTTCCTGAGACTCATGGGACCAGCTCCAGACGCCCTGTCCAGCTCCATTAACCACTGCAGGCCCTTAGAGGTCACCCTGTGAGCACTGCCATGAGGCCCAGCCAGAGCAGGCACTCACAATAAACTCATGCTTCTGGTAAGATTTGGCTGCCACGCGAACAGAACGCTCACACAAGAGCCTAACCTGGAGTGTGGGACTAACAGGGCTCTTGAAGTCCTCCAGCTGAAGAGCACACACCTCCTGCTCCTTGAGCAGCACCTGGGTGCTCTGTGCCTTAGCAGTGCAGGAGGATGCCTGATGGTTTAACACTGGCTTTGCCTTAAACAACCTTTCCATTTTTTTAAATAGTTTCTGGCTATATGGTGTTCATCACACCCCTGCACTGAGCTTCCTTTTTGTTGTATTAGAGCACAGCATCAATGACAATGCTGAAGCACGCTGCTGCCAGGTATGTGAGATGTTCTGCCTCTCCTCAGAGACTGCTGCTGCTCAGACGGAAAGGAGAACATGACAGCTTGGCAGCCTTTGTGTGCATTACAAGTTGTACCCATGTAAGTAACACACAGAAGGTGTCACAGCAAATGCAGCCTGGATTGAAGATGACAGGCTGGGAGATAATTACCTGTAGCACGGGCTGATGTCTGAAGAAGTCCCAGGTGTGGAAGTATTTCATCCACAGCCTTCTGCCCGGGAGTTTTCAGTGTAGAAGTCTCTGGAGCCTTCTTCACATCAGCCCAGCCTCCAAGTCTGCAACATTTTCATTGCAAAACCATCTGGAGTTTAGAGGAGTAGTGTCCTGTCTCCCCAAAAGTGGGGAGCTTCAATCCCAGTGTAAATTCTAACCCAGCCCCTGCAGAGATGCTGTGACATCCGTGCAGCTGCGATAAATCCAAGTGTCCATGCAGGCAGCAGGGCAGGCAGGGCTTTGTCGCTCACAGATTTGCACCCTGCAATTCCCACAGCTCTCCCCACAGCAACACCAGGTCTCCTTGGCCCCTGCCCTGCAGGTGTCACAGACATGCTCACAGACCCACTGCTCACTCCTTCTGTGTCCCTCCTGTCCGCAGGACACCAGCAAAGGCAGCCAGACACAAAGCAAGAGGTGCCGGACAGAGCCCAGGATCCTGGTGGAGGGAGGAGCCTCGTCCACGCCGCTGCTCCAGCGATGCTCTGCTCCCCATTTCCCTCAACAGCCTGCCCCAAATTGCACTGCACGGAATTTCCCCTGGGATGGAGGATGAATGATCCAAGTCCAAGTGCTGGAGGTTGGAGGAAAGCCAGGGTTTATGCTCTTCTTTCTCAGGAAGCAACCAGCTCAAATACTTTCTTCCCCAGCTCAAACGCTTTCTTCCCAGGCTCAGTGTGTGGCTGGATCATGGGCTTTGTTCCTCGTGGTGATAGCTGAGCTCCTGGCCTTCAGGCTACGCCCAGCCCCGAGCTGGGTGGAGAGGACCTGGGGCTGAATGCCAATGCCATTAGGTAGATACATAGTCATGAGAAGGGAATGCCAGAGATCCTTCTGGCTCATCCAGTTCGGCCTCCAGCCACCCACGGTGCTGTAGCCCAGCGCTGGTGAATGGTGAGTCTGTGCTTTTGCTCTTGTTCCTCCCCTTAAAGCTCTTTTGCCGCAGGTATTTACATGAGTGAGAGGTGCCAGCCTATTCACGAGGTGACGGCAGAGATGCCTGGGTGACTTCAGACCTGGGGTCCTGCAGAGCAGCAGGAACACTCACATTTCCTGATGGATAACATAGCCACTGTATAGCCACTGCAGAGTCAAACAGGTCCTTCTTTTCCCTTCATCCATGGTCACCTTAACCAGACAAACACATTTCAAAGTCCAGCAGCAGGTTCAACCAGAGCCTCAGGGACCACATCCCACCATCCAACAGAGATGGTCAGCAGCAAATGCTTCATCCCCAGAGCCACTGCCATCTCGGTGGGTTATGGGCCAAGCAGAGGAGTCTGACACAAAGGTGGAAATAATTAGCATGGGTGACACCAAGGCCAGCAGCTCAGAACAGTTCATAACGAGATCAAACCACATGATCATGGCATTTCTCCAGGGTATGTCCAACAGGAAGGATCAGGATTAAAATGATCCATACGGGCAGGAAGGGGATGGGAGGCAGCTCATCCCTTCCTGCACTCCAGCTCCAGCTGATCCCTGCAGGTTCTGCCACCGCTGCGGCTCTCGAGGAGAGCATCACCTCCTGCTGGCAGATAAGATTCTAGGTTTTCTCTCTAAGAAAATGTTGGTTTAAACCCCGCAGCAGGTCAGGATGAAGCACTGGCAGTGCAGGCTCTGCTCTGCCTGCCGATTCAGCCCAGCCCCTGGGGGAGCAGGTAAGATCACACAGGTAGCTGAGAAGAGCTGTTGCTGTGTGTGTGTTTATAGGAGCTGGGCACTGGATACTCACAGAAGCATGACAGACCTTTTCCCCTCCACTTCTAGATGTAAGAATAAATATAAGAGAACACATGGCGACTTTAATACTTGTATTTTATTGTTTCCTTGATTTTGGTGGCACACACAACTTGGACAATATCCCTAAATTGAAATAATTGTAATACAGAATCAGAAAAACAAACTGTTACTCACACAAGCAAGTCCTAATGTTCCTGTTGATTCCAGGACTCTAAATTCTGCCTAAAACAGTGTGAAGCCCATGGTGCAGGGACCAAAAATATAAGCCTTTGAGTTTCAGATAATATTTTATGTACATGTGGATATGTATATGTACATGCAATACTTATGCACATAAATATGCTCCTTTAAGCTCTAGGCAATATTTTATGTACATATATATATATATATATATATATATATATGTAAGTAATCAATATGTAGCTATCCAGTATGTAGACAATACACACATTTATTCATACACTCTGTACATGTGTACACGTGTGTGTGTACAGTTTATATACATGTAAGTGCTTCTGCTCTCCAGCTCAACAAAAACAAAGCTTGGGCAGACAAGGACCAAACCCAGCAGCCTAAGAACGAAAAGCTGAGCCCACGAATTTGTCCTTCACCTGCTGATGGGCACTCTTCTTTTACCTGGGTGGGGGCTGAAATAAATTTAACAAAATTTAGCTGGCGCTAAGGAGGCCCCGAGAAGCACTAGGCTCCTACGGTACCCCTCCCACATGTGAAATGCACGCTCCTCTGAGCCCACCTACACGGCCAGTGCCTCCAAGTGCACTCTCTCCGCAGGGTCCCAGTGCAGGCAGGAACCCCCAGGACCTTCACCGCTGTCCCCGGGGCTGGGGGCCGGGGTGGCTCTTGGCAGGGCTGCAGGGGAAGGGCCACCCCCTCGTCACACCAGCGCCACGCCGTCCGCGACGCAGCTGCACCTCTCCACGATCATGTTGGGGAACTCGGCCGCCTCAATCTCCGTGTGGTTGCCCCTCTTGACCAGGTAGATGATGGGCAGCGCCGAGCTGCCGGCCACGGCGCAGGAGCGCTGGCCGGAGCCGGGGCGGCGCAGGGCGCGGGGCGGCTGCAGGCAGCTCCCGGAGCAGCGGAACGCCTGGAAACCCGCCGGCTCCAGGATCCAGTGCTGAGCCCACGGCAGCTCGCGGAAGCTGATGTAGTGCTTCTGCCGGCAGCAGGTGGATTTCCCCAGCACCGCCTCCTCCCTGCAGTCCCCAGGGCTCCTGGACACCAAGGGAGAAACAGGAATGGGTGCTGCAACTGGAAAATGGGGAGTGGGAGAAATCGTCCCTGAGGCTAATAGCGTAGGTGGGCTCTGAGACATGAAAGCTGGGCCGTGCTCAGGGTTTGTTTGAGTATTCAGACAACAGATGTGGGAAGGGGAGAGGTGAGATTCAGCAGCAGCTTTCTAACTACTCCATTCACAGCTGGTGAGGGTAAGAAAGGGTAAGAGCTGCCTACCCTGGGTTTGCCCTCTGCCCCCCAATAATTCAGGCACAAAATTACACCAGAGACAGCACAGCTTCAGGTTTCATACGTACCCGTAGTCGTCCAAGTTGAGGGTGTAAAGCACCAGCTCAGGCTTGCCCAGGGCTTTGTCCTTGGGGTCCTGCGAGGCGAAGCGCACGGCTCTGGCCATTTCCGAGGCGTAGCTGCCCAGCCTCTCCCCTTCGATCCACACCTCCAGGAACATCGGCTCCCGCCTCTTGTTTCGCAGCCAGTAATGCACGGCCTGGGTCACATCAAAGCTCTTCCAGCCCGACTCACGAATAGGAACCAGCCTGCATGACAAGGGCTTGGCGTTAGAAAAGCCCATCAGAAAAATCCCGGGCTCGCAGCGCTGTTATTGCAGCAGAATAATTTACTTCCTGTAGATTGTCACATGCCTTGATTACATGATCATTTTTGCTCTGGGCAAGCACCCACAGCAGTTAACTGCCACCTCAAAAAGAAAAATTAAGATCTAACAGACACTGAAGGGCCAGAAAAAATCCTCTCTACATGCTCATACAAAAAATTAGGTGGTGCAGGATCGTGTGCAGCCTCAGTATTGGTGACAACAGCCGATGGTAAGCATCAGATTCCCACCTGCTCCTGTCTGAGCTGCACTAAGGCCATAAGTTTACAGTCCAGTCTAGTTCTGCCTTCAAGGGTTGCAAAACTTCCACAGAGCTCACCATTACAGAATCAGATGATTTTTGCATAATTTACTTGTCTAAACCAGCTAATAAAATGGCCAAAGAATACCAGCAGCCAGTACCCCACTTGAATTAGTGGCACACAATTGAACCAGGTGGAGGATTTTAGAGAGGAAGATGTAGCAGTACACAACATCGTTTCATAGATTATTTCAAAGAATCATCATATATTGCCATCTCAGCATAATATCTGCTCTTAAAAGGTCATTCTGGGTTTAGAGGCCATATAACACAGTTGTGGAGATGCAAACCCCATCAGACTGAGCTGAGGCACAACCCATGACACCCAAATGCATCCCAGAGGACCTAAACTCTGTAACTCCAGCAGAGGCTCCTTTCTTACCTGGAATCTATCAGGGAGGTGCTGTTGGTACCATCGTGCTGCTGCTGCACCCAGTACACGCTGACTCTGGCGTTGGAGACGGGCCTGTGAGACTGCCTGGCAGGCAGGTTTGTTCTGTCCAGAGGCTTTTTGAAGAGTTTCAGCTCGGCCATTGTGACCTCGCTGTTTTTAGGTATTCTGCCTTCCATGTCAAACATCAGCTTCTGGCGTGTGGTTGTGTCGGAGTAGAGGACTTCCCCTGTCATACCTGTGCAGTTGGGGACAAAAAGGATGGCCTGTCACTGCCACCCTGCTGAGAAAAGCTGCCACATTTCATGCACAATTATCATCACAACACACTCCTTCCATGCTCCCAGTCACAGAGACAGCCACTAAACACACCTTTTCTAATGCATACTCGAATCAATGTCTTGCAAATGCCCTAATTCTTCTCCTATGTCTGAGCCTCTGCAGCCTGGAAGAACTAAATCTCTGCCATAACATGACCCCAAATTGAGCAGACCTCAAAAATTGTTGGGCATGAAAGCAGGAAACTGCACCACTTGGAATGAAAAAGTATTTTCGTTTGCTGCCCAGGGTGCTGTGTATGCCCTTTGAAAGCACAATAAGTGCTCTAAGTGCCCTTGTACAGCCACTACTGTATCTGTATGGCTATTTTCCTCCTTGGTAATTTTTTTCTGTAAAAAAATAACCTAAACAAAAAAGAAATGAGTGAGAGTGAAACATTCTCCAAGAGGTGTGATTCCTATTAGACGACTTGCTGTAGATTTCACCCAAAACCTGCACGGCCTGCACTTTTTTTTCCCCTCCACCTGCCCAGACTGTTCCCAGGCTACCAAGGCTTCCATCAAGCTCCAGCAGCATCCTGTCCTTTGGAAGGACTGCGGGACTCCCTCTCCAGGTGCAAAGGGTGCCTGTTAATCTTTCCGATGTTGTTGCATGCACCTCCTCTGCCCAGCTGAGCTCTGGAGCCAAACCCGACCCTCATTCCCCTTTCCCCTCGGGGGTTTGCCTCTGCCCATGCTGCGGCCAGCCGGGAGAGCCCTGGCAGATTCCCTGGCGGCAGCAGGATGCTTGGGATGCTGCCAGCAGCAGAAACGTTACCTGTGTGTCCCGGGATCCCCCTGAGGATGCCAGCCAGGCTGGGCAGAGCTCGGCGCTTCACCCTCTGGCGTTTCAGCATGGACATGTACTTGTTCTTGACGTGGTCTGGGATAACCAGGTCCACCAAGTCTCTCGAATGAAGTTTAGGGACCTCGGACAGCCCCAGCTGCTTCAGCACCACCTCCTTGAAGCGTTCCTGGGTGAATGCTTGGACCGTGAGGACGAGGCAGAGCACGCAGAGCATCCAGGCACGCCTCAGGTCCATCCTCCTCCGTCAGCAAAGCAGCTCCCTGCCCGGCAGAGATGAAGGGGGGGATCTCCCTGGGGCTGCTCTCGGCAGAGATGTAGAGATGTGCTGGCAGGCTGCCCGAGCTGGATGGAGGTCCCCGGTGCTGGGGTTTTATAGCCAGCCTCGTCCCACTGGCACAACAAATTTCACAAGTGGGGACGAAGCAGAGGACTTAAAAGGATCACTCCCCTGTTGGTAGACACATGCCAGTTTAACACCTTCATCCACTGCAAAGTTAATACAAGAAGGTTTAGGGGGCTCCTAGATTCCATCACGGGGAAGAAATTTCCTTTTTTCTTTTTTAATCCCCTGTAAATATTTGCCCAGAAGCCTCCTGAGCAATCGGTGTCCCCTGCTCAGCCTTGCTAGGGAGGAAGCACAACTGCAGAATACATTGCTTTATGTACTACACCATATGATTCCTAAAGGCAGCATCAATCTTTGCTGCAGAGGACTTGCCAATAACAATCAGGAGAAGCTTTAGCTTTAGCTGGAAGTCCATTTTTATGGCAAGCATTGAAAAATCATTTTAATCTTTGGGGTGGGGGGGTTAGGTTCCACTTTGATCTCTGAATATTTGTATCAAGTGTATGAATCAGGGCAGTGAGTCACAGCAGTTGAATGATTGATGGGCTTTTATGCTGCTTCTGAATCACAGAAGGTGGAAGATGTACGGGTGTGACATTTTAGAAAAACGCCCCATCACTCTTTATGGATTCCTGTGGGTCTCATAATACTCATGCTTAGAAGAAGAGGGCTTTATATAAAGGCAAATAATTTCTCAGTGAGCATGAGAAACCACTGCACTATTCCCAGCATGGATGAAGAATATCAGTATTTTGAATGCTGTTAACAGCCACAACAGGGCACTGGCTCTGGAGAGTGAAGCTGATCTGAAGGCTGGGGTGAGGAGGCTGGATGTTTACCTTGTAACATTTAAACTAGAAACTTACACCCTTTTCTTCCACAGTCTTTACTGGCATAAGGTGTGGAAACCTATTTTTGGCATTAATCCCAGGAGAATTGAATTGAAGAAATAAAATGTGATTGATAAAAGCATGAAGGATCGTGGCACCGGGGGCAGATTCTCACCCTCTCCAGCAGCCACATACCTGAGCCTACCTATAAATGTCTTCAGCATCAAAGGCCCTTTTGGATTTTTTGTGCCTTTGTAAATGATTTTTAAATTGGTCCAGTTTCACCCAATGCCCAGGCTGAATGTTGTGCCCTGAGGACAGTCTGGCTGGAGGATGCAATGTAATGAACTTGTACAAAATCACCCCTTTGTGGCTCATCCCTCATTAAAACAAGTGTCAGCTGAGGGAGGCAGCCTGTTTTGTACCCAGGGGAAGGCAATAAAGCCGTCTGAAAGAGCCCCACTCAACATTTCTGTTACTGCTCACTTTGTCTTTACAACCTTTTAAGAAGCTTGTCTTCTTAAGCATGATAAAGCCCCTGTTAGATGTTAAAAGGGCACCTTATTTAGCTAAATTGAGTTTTAAGATGAAAATGGAACAAAGTAACAGCCTGTGTATGGCCCAAGGCAGTGCATTCTTTAATCCTGCACTTTGAGATGAATTTTAGACATGCATTTGTATATTACTTCAAAATACATCCATTCCCAAGATGCAAACAGCAGTGAAAAATATCCACTTCATTTGTCGGCTTCAAGTTCAGCTCATGTCAAATACTCCTGCACTTGTGAATAAAAGGGAAGGTTTTTTCCTGAAATCTTTGTGATTTCATCCCCTCATCCCTTTAGGAAAGCTCCATACACCCAGCTCTTCCCTCAGGACTCTCTCTCCAGCCAAATGGCACACCACTGATTCCTAGAGGCTGGGGTAAAAGAGCTGCTCACACAATGGGCTGTGTCAGAGGCTTGGAACCACCTGAGCAATGTTCACATGGCTGACAAAGTTTTCTGCACATGGGCTCTCAAAATGTTGGCCAGCTCAGTTCCAGCAGGGAGTTTGTTAGGTTTACAAGGTCACCTGGATAAAACTGCAATCCATGGATTTGTAATGGTCTCTCTCTTATGTTAGAAGACACAATTCCATAATTATTTATCCATACAATTAGTCTTTGCCCCAGAGAGTGGTCCTCAAAAGACCATGACAACATGAAATGAAAATGTCTGATTGCTCCAGCAGCACACAGCTTTCCTGTGTCCGGATGTGATTTCTCCTGTGGCTGATGCCAAATCCACCAGGACTCTCCGTTGTCCAATGTGTATTGGAAGGTGATTTATGGGCTTCACACTCAAAATAAAATTATTGACCAAACACTTGAAGTGCAGCTAAGAAGAAAACAGAGGATGTATATTGGAGGCTTTTCACAGGAGAGTGATTATCTGGTCCAATTGGAGGATTTGCCATTCCCCCTTTGTCGTGCAAACAAGAAAAAGTCAGGAATTTTATAATAGCTCTTTCTGTGTAATGTGTATTAGAACCTGCATGGCACTTTTGAAATGTCAAACAGAGGATTCAAAGAGGCTGCAAGGGGTGAAGTATGAGCAACTCCCAGTTTTAATAAAAGCCAGTACCTAGTGGAGAGAGGATCTCTATATTTAAGCTTTTAATTTTCTTACAAGCACTTCTGTAAGACATTTGCTGGGCACATCCGTGCAATGACTTTTGGTAAATAAATCCAGTGGGATCAAAGAGAAAGTGTGAAAGGCTTCCCCTAATTATGTAGCTATTATCCTGGGAAACAAGAATGTTTGAAATGTATTTGCAGTATTGAGGGTCTGAATATTAAACTTTTGAAGATTTCAATTGCCATGGACATAACTCTTTTGTGTCACAGCTGGGCCCATATTAAAAAGGCTCTAGCTTGAGTGATGTGAAAGGCAACCTCTGTGGGCCAGGACAGCTCCCTGGAGTTTGCTCCCTATGGCCTCAGCTTGCTCTGCTAGTATCTGAGTATCTGGAATGGAAAAGTTTCCAGAAGCTAAGGCCTGATAACACAAGACATCTGGGTGTCTCCCAGGGCTAGACTGAAAACAGCAGAGCTACCCAATGCAGTTGTGTTGATCTTTCTGATTTTTTGCAAAAATTTGGCCTTGTTATTTTTGTGCCAAAAGGCTTTGTGCTCAGTCGGGTATCAGCTGACTTACCTGCCTCTCTTGCATTCCCTTCCTCCTTCCAGTGGGTGCAAAGTCATAAGGGGGACTTTGGATCAGTGTTGTGAGCTATGACTAACTTGACTCTGGGAAATAGAACTTCATGTCCCATGTCTGAGACGAATTGTGGTTGTTCTGTGTGCACAGATCTCATTCCAAAGATGCTGCAACCTCACCCTCGGTCCTTAGTGTTTACTCTCCTGCTGAGGAGCCAGTTACAGTAGCAACTTCTATGGTCCAAACTATCACCTGCTTGAGCTATACAGAAATTATCCAGCTCATTTAATCTAGGCAAGGACATGAGACTGTTTTTCCTCATCACCAGCACAGGCCAGACTGAAATATCCAATGGGAATATCTGAAAGATCACATCCTATTGGGTCCTTCCCTCCTGGCGCTGTGTATCTCTGATTGCACTGACATAAGCACATCTTCCAGAGGCAGCTTCTGCTTTTACTCATGAGCTTGTTTTGGTCAGATGGCCAGGACAAAAGGCTATCTGTCTGAGGAGGAATGGATAAAATGCCCAAAGTCCCCCCATGTCCTTGGTCAGCTGATGTCAGCTGGCTCGCTCGCAGGGGTTTGTGTTGGCAGCGTTTGCAAAGTGCCAGTGTTCTGGCAGAAAGGAGATGTTCAAGATTTTTTTTTTTTTAAACAGAAAAGCAAATACAACTGTTTAAATACAGCATTTTCTATGCCTTCAGCAGTCTCCTCCCACTGCCCCAGCCTGTTCCTTGTTTGTTAGCTGGGGAAGCAGGACTTGTCACTGCTCTGATGGCTGCAGCATAGGCTGCTGGCAAAAACACTGACATTTAGCTCATGCAGTTGAATCAGATAAATAAGCATACAGCCCTGAATTGCTTGTTTTACACCACAGTCCACTTCATTAAGGAATGTCCTAATTACTGAGAAATAGTTGAATTCTGTAGGAGCACCACTTAATTTCTAATCAGAGCCCATTTATCAGCCTTGTTAAAATGCTACTTTTCCCTTGCAACTTTATTTTAGCGTAGAAGTTTAGCAAACGTTTTCTTTAAAAGTATGTTTCTTCTGCCTTATTGTGCAGATTCAATGTCCCATAACCCTTACTGATTCTGTACCAAGTTTGTGTGGCAATTGGCATTCCAAAAACTGAGTGATGTCCCGGTTTTCCTGTCATGCTAATACAGTTGGAATACTCTTTATACTGCATCTGTGGCACTAAGTAACCTGGCTTAATTATGGATTGTATTTCCTCCAGTTAAATTTAGCTCTAATAAGTTTTGCTTCACTGAACAGACTGTCCTCTTTTGCTAAGAAAGAGAGAAAATGAATCACTTTTCCCCAACTCAGAGAAAGAATGACACTGTATTCTAGCAGCTGTAATTTATTTCTATTGCCAGAAGAAGTTGTAAAGGCAGAAAGATTATGAAGTATGTGTTAATGCAAGTTGAATAATTTGCATTACTAACTTTGCTGGAAAATATATTTTTTCTGCAGGCCAAAAATAAAGATGAAAGGCAAAGATGAGTGAGACCTAAAAAGCAACTTCTGCTAAAAATGATGAACTGTTGTGCAAAACAGTAATTTGTTAGTGGAGTGCAAGAAAACTCTAAAAAGGCCTGTTACTTGCACGGAAAATTATAAAACCCAATGAAAGATTGTAGAAGGCAAAATTAAGTGCTAACACACACACACATGACAAGACAGAATTGATAGTTTAGATTTCCCTAATCTGGTACATCAGATAGAGTGAGGAGCAGCTGCCCAAAGGCTTCTGCTAGTCTTCACCGAGTTATTCAAAATTAGCTTGGGCAGTGCCTTAGCAAATTTACTGATTGGCAAAAAGATACCT